GAATGTATTTTCATACTATTAAGATAAGAAAGTAAAAAAAAATAAAAATAAATAAATAAAATCTAATTTGCATTATGCCAAATCACTTATTCTACTGGATCTTACGGAGCCCTGTTCATACACGACATCGTCAGGTCTGATCATAGAAAAGATTCTCTTCAAGCGAACCAGCCTATCCTTTGTATGGGGCTTACACGGTGGTTGGAACAAAGACACATTTGGTTGTGAATTCCAATGTAGCAGATAAAGGCATATTTCTGCATGGCCCAATCAATAGTTCAAGTCACACACTCCCATAATCCATTTTCTCTTCGGGGAATTCCCTTCAACTATTCATGTCATATCAAATAAATAATAGAATATTGTGGAGTTGAAAGGAAATATCCAAATACATGTCTTATTTTTTTTTTTTTTTCAACAATCCATATTTGTAGCAATGAAATACTATTGTTCCTCCCCCAAGTAATAAGATAAATGATTGGCAAGTAATAAGATAAATGATTGGTTACAATATAGCTATGGTCTATATTCTCTATAAAGGACCAGAAATGCCTTGCTTACGTATCATTAGGAAATGCATTAACATAAATACAGCAGTAAGAAGGGGTAATACAAAAGTGTGTAAACTATAAAAACGGGTCAAAGTGGATTGTCCCACACTAGCACTTCCACGCAATAACTCTACCAAAGGCGATCCTATTACCGGAATAGCTTCCGGAACGCCTGTTACGATTTTGACTGCCCAATAACCAATTTGGTCCCAAGGTAAGGAATAACCTGTTACACCAAAAGATGCAGTCAACACAGCCAGAACCACGCCTGTAACCCAAGTCAATTCGCGAGGTTTTTTAAAACCACCAGTGAGATAGACACGAAATACGTGCAGGATCATCATTAAGACCATCATACTTGCCGACCATCGATGAACTGATCGGATTAACCAACCAAAGTTAGCTTCAGTCATTATGTATTGAACAGAAGTAAAAGCCTCAGTAACGGTTGGACGATAGTAAAAAGTCATAGCAAATCCTGTAGCTACTTGTACCAAAAAACAAGTAAGCGTAATTCCTCCTAGACAATAAAATATGTTAACATGAGGAGGAACATATTTACTAGTTATATCATCTGCAATCGCCTGAATCTCGAGGCGTTCTTCGAACCAATCATAGACTTTATTGAGATAGGTAAACCAAGAGGACTCCCCCCCTGAGAACCGTATATGAGAATTTCATCTCGTACAGCTCAAACAAAAACACCCAAATAATAGCTGAAACGGATATGGAATAGAAAGTTTGAAACTTCTTAATCTTTTCATTCAATTTTATCTGAAGACACAAAAGAGTAAAAATCCGAAAGCTCTTTTTTGTAGTTGTAATTATAATGCCAAAAAATCAAGTCGGCGCATTCGTCTTTATGTTGATCAGGCCTCTTGAATCTTCTATTTACCTACTTATTTCTTTTCTTTTTCTTTGCTTTGATTTGTTATTTATATGGAATGTGGCTTTATTCTTGTTTTCTTTATTTTTAATAGGAATTCTCTTGTTAAGACCCTATGAATCAATTGAAACTTCAGATTCATACCAGAACCGCGATGATTCAATAAAACCTTCAAACTAAGTCCAAAGATTCTTTGAGTAAGAATTATTGGATCATCACTTATTCAATGAATAGAATAGATATAATAAATAAAAATACAAAGAAAAGAAAGGTTTGTCCTTTGATCAAAATAAGCATAAACTAAATGAGAGTTTGAAAGAAGAAAAAATTTCTCGATTTATAAATAAAAAACCTCTTTCTTTGAAAATTTTTTTTTTTTTTGAGTCCGGCCGCGAGGTTTGAATATTAAGTATGAATCATAGTTCGAATACTTCGTGATCCATTTCATATATTCCGTGCTCCAGATACTAGAATGGCTATCCGACGGGATAAAACTATCTCGATCAAGAGGACAGACCCATTTTCTGTACTATCAATAGGATCAATTATAACAAGTCACACACTCATATTCCGGAAATACAGAAACAAAAAAAATTTCGCGGTCGAACTACCAAAATAGAATGGGCTAAAAAAAATCCGAGAACTAAAAGTTTCACTTTTTGTATTGAAAAGCGAGGCTTCGTGGTTCTTGTGAATCTAATTCAGCGAAATTCCATCCAGTAAAACGGAAGAATTATAAATCTCCAAAATAATAGATAAGAATATCGAAAATAAAGCCATTGCGACACCCATCAAAGGAGTCGTTCCCCATCCAGGAGCTACTTTACCATATTCCGAATTCAATGGTTTCAAAAAATCCCCTACAACAGTTCGTCTTGGACCAGATCTAGAACTACCCTCAACGGTTTGTGTAGCCATAAATCTTATTTTGTATTCAGTGAGATCTGTTGACTTTGTATATCATTCCGCTGTAAATAAACGATCTTATCATAGATCCATTGTGATCTTGAAATTATATTTATATTTATATTATTTATATTTATATTTATATTTATATATATTATTTATATAATTATATAATAATGGAAACAGCAACTTTAGTCGCCATCTCTATATCTGGTTTACTTGTAAGTTTTACTGGGTACGCCTTATATACTGCCTTTGGGCAACCCTCTCAACAATTAAGGGATCCATTCGAGGAACACGGGGACTAATTGAAGTAATGAGCCTCCCAATATAATATTGGGAGGCTCATTACTTCAATTGAGATAATGAAAAATCATTTCATTTTTTTAGTTGGAACTTTAGGCGGTTCTCGAAAAAAGATAGCGAAAAAAATTATCCCTAGAGTAGATACTAAGAGGAATGTATAAACCAATGCTTCCATAAATTCGATCGTGGTTTACAATTATAGCTTCCGTACCTATTTATTTAGAATCATCTCCCGAATAAAATAACGAAAGAACAAGAATCAAAGAAAAGGCAGCGATTTTAATCAAGATTTTTACAGCAGCCTATGTCAAATCACAAACAGAAAATAGAAGCGAAAAATAACAAAGCAATCTTGCATCAGACTACTTGTCTTCTTGTAGTTGGATCTCCAAGTTTTTGGAATGCTCCAAATTCCACTTGAGCATCCAAATCTGGATCAATACCGGCAAAAACATCTCTGAACAGGGTTCTAGCACCATGCCAAATGTGTCCGAAGAAGAAAAGCAAAGCAAACGAAGCATGCCCAAAAGTAAACCAACCCCTTGGACTGCTACGAAAAACACCATCGGATTTCAAAGTAGCACGATCTAATTCAAAAATTTCACCCAATTGAGCACGTCTAGCATATTTTTTCACAGTAGCAGGATCACTATAACTCACTCCATTGAGTTCGCCACCATAGAACTCAACAGTTACACCTACTTGTTCGACACTATACTTCGATTCTGCCCTTCTAAAAGGAACATCCGCTCTAACAATTCCGTCTCCGTCTACCAAAACAACCGGAAATGTTTCAAAAAAAGTAGGCATACGACGTACAAAAAGTTCACGCCCTTCTTTATCTCTAAAGATAGGGTGTCCTAACCACCCAACGGCTATTCCATCCCCGTTGTCCATTGAACCCGCTCTGAATAATCCTCCTTTTGCCGGATTATTGCCAATGTAATCATAAAAAGCTAATTTTTCAGGAATTTTAGACCAAGCTTCTGATAAACTTTGATTTTCGGCTAACCCAGCACTAACCCTTCGATATATTTCTTGCTGGAAGTATCCTTGATCCCATTGATAACGAGTAGGACCAAATAATTCGATGGGGGTAGTTGCTGAACCATACCACATAGTTCCAGTAACAACAAAAGCTGCAAAAAAGACAGCAGCTATACTACTGGAAAGGACGGTTTCAATATTTCCCATACGTAATCCTTTGTATAAACGTTGGGGCGGACGGACACTAAGATGGAATAAGCCCGCTAATATGCCCAATGTCCCTGCTGCAATATGATGAGAGGCTATTCCTCCCGGAACAAAAGGATCAAAACCTTCCACGCCCCACGCTGGATTTACAGGTTGTACCTTTCCGGTTAGTCCATAAGGGTCGGACACCCATATTCCAGGACCATACAATCCTGTTACATGAAATGCGCCAAAGCCAAAGCAAGCCACTCCTGAGAGAAATAAATGAATTCCAAAAATCTTGGGCAAATCCAAAGAGGGTTTTCCTGTGCGCTCATCACAAAAAATTTCTAGATCCCAATATACCCAATGCCAGATAGCTGCCAAGAAGCACAAGCCAGAAAACACAATATGTGCTCCGGCCACACCTTCGTAACTCCAAATACCCGGATTTGTTATAGTCCGCCCCGTAATACTCCAACCGCCCCATGAATTGGTTATTCCTAAACGAGTCATGAAGGGTATAACGAACATACCTTGTCTCCACATTGGATCAAGAACGGGATCGGAGGGATCAAAAACAGCTAATTCATATAGAGCCATTGAACCGGCCCAACCAGCAACCAGAGCTGTATGCATTATATGAACAGAAAGCAAGCGACCGGGATCATTCAATACGACAGTATGAACACGATACCAAGGCAAACCCATGGAAATACCCCTTTATCAAATCAACGAAAAATAGACACTATGTAACTTTATTGCATTGGAATACCTCCCCTTTTCGGTGGATTCTTTCGGAGAAAGGATTAATGTTTGTTCTATTCCATTAGTAATAAGGGAAGAATTCGGCTCAGAAGAAAAAAGAGAAGCAGATCTATTCTATACTCGATAAGTATCAATACGCAATGGGGGTTGATCCTATTTTTTATGAATGAATGCATCCCTATTTGTTCATCATTCAAAGGACCTATTCGTAAGAATTCTCTTTCATTCATTCCGCCTTTCTTTATTTTATGGCCTTAGTCTATCTATGTATAAAATATGATAAAGGCCCATATTATTAAGACCATTATTACATATTATTAAGATAAGACCATTATTACGTATTACATTACGTATTACGCTTCCACAATCAAAGTGAAATATAATATTACATATTATAATATTACATATTATTAAGATAAGACCATTATTACGTATTACATTACGTATTACGCTTCCACAATCAAAGTGAAATATAATATTACATATTATAATATTACATATTATTAAGATAAGACCATTATTACGTATTACATTACGTATTACGCTTCCACAATCAAAGTGAAATATAATATTACATATTATTAAGATAAGACCATTATTACGTATTACATTACGTATTACGCTTCCACAATCAAAGCGAAATATAATTTTACATTCTTTTTACTTTATGCCTGTTGGTATTCCAAAAGTTCCTTTTCAAGTTCCGGGAGATAACGATGCAAGCTGGGTTGACATATAGTGCGACTTGTCAAATATATTGGGTCATATGGGATTCCCCCGTTCTCTCGCCCGATCGAGATATCCCCTGTTTCGCCCCAAAAAGATTGATTGAATTATCAAAAATTTGTAGCGGGAAGTGTAATGAAGTGCAATTAGAGATCCATTTCATGGGGGTGTATCCAGATTAATATTTTCAATTAGAATGATTTATGGTTGGCTTGGTTGGACTGATAAAATGAAGTATCCAGGCTCCGTTTAGAAAAAACCCAATTGGTAATATATTTATGATTACCACCTATATCATAATCATAATTTTTCTTTTTTTTTTTAATTATAAATAAGAGCGATTTCAAACTGTTAATCAATCGAATAATATGGGAAATACGTTGAATATTTGGCGAAAAACATGAAAGAAAAAGGAATTAAATTAAAATAAAAAAAGGAAATGAAATCATAGCAAAAAGACGTGGTATTGGGTCATTTGTCCTATATGTGCAAATAAAAATCGGGCAGATCTTTACTCGGAGTAGAGCATAAACCTAAAAAAATTGAATAAAAAATTGACGAACCCCATTCAGGAACAAGAAAATGACATCGTGATTTGGATTGAATCGCAATGAAAAAAAAATGGATCAATGAAAAGTTTGTGCAATAAGTTTAGCGAATTTTTTCTATATTATAGGAAAACGGGCCAAAACTCATCTTTCTTTAATTTAATTTTAAATTTCATTTTATTTAAAAAATGTAAGAAAAAGCCCCTTCATTAGAAATTAGAAGTTAGAAAGGTCCGACTAGAAAAAACAAAGGATGGCTGGAATCTACACATTGATTTTTTTTCGCAATTTTTGTTGAACCGTATGCATCAAAAGGTGCCTGTACGGCTACTAAGGGATACAATTTTATCCTAATCAACCGAATTTATCGAGAAAGATTGCTTTTTTTGGGCAAAGAGCTTGATATCCAGACCTCGAATCAACTTGCGGGTATTATGATCTATCTCAGTATAGAGAGTAATAGCCGAGACCTGTTTTTTTTTATAAACTCTCCTGGCGGAGGGATAGTATCTGGATTATCTCTTTTTGATACTATGCAAGCAGTGGAACCAGATGTGCATACACTAGCCATGGGATTGACCGCTTCAATCGCAGCTTTTCTCTTGGTCGGAGGAGAAATTACCAAACGCAGAGCATTCCCTCACGCTCGGCGCCAATGAGTTTTTTTTTTTTATTATTGATGGAAAGAAAAAGAAGACTATGCCTTCGCCATATGAAATATGAATTAGTAAGTAATAATAGCATGGCACTTTGAATTCGATATGAAATTTTTTTTTATTTCTTTTTTTTTTTTTCAAAAAAAAATATTAGATTATGTATCGAAAGAGTAGTATGAGAGAAGGGGCATTTCCAATTTGATCTTAGCTATCGTGGGCCCATCTCAGGCGTCACAAACTTTTTTTCTTTTCCTACCAGAGGCTATTAACAATATTTATGTTATGAAAGAGTACGAAAAAAAAAAAGACTATTTTTTTTCTTTCTTTTTTTTTTTGAAAAAAAAAAAAGAAACTTTGGGATTGCTGAATCACAGACGAAATAAATATATAAAGCAACGGAGCCATCATAGTATTTTTAAACTTTTCCGAAAAAAAAAGAAAAAGAAGGATGGTAATTGGATTATTTATTAATCTGGGTCTAATAGACTCTATATTTTCTCTTTTTTTCGATGAAAGAAAAAAGAGAATTCCATTGTAAAGCCGTATGCAATTGTAAAGCCGTATGCAATGCGCAAAAAATGCCTGTACGGTTGTTCAATTCTATAGCTATTCTTCTCGCCTCATTATGTGAGTTAGAAGTATGTTATATCATCAGGGTAATGATCCATCAACCTATTAGTATGCTTAAGGATGATGGCTTCAAAGACTGGGTCATGGAAACAGACGAAGTAATGAAAATGCAAGAAGACATCATAGAGGCTTATGTACAAAGAACGGGCCAGCCCCGATGGGTTATAAACAAAGACATGGAAAGAGATAATTTTATGTCAGCAAAAGAAGCCAAAGATCATGGAATTGTGGATCATATAGTGCGTACAGAATCGAGACCTATAGTGAATGAAAAACCTATAGTGAATGAAAAACCTATAGTGAATGAAAAACCTATAGTGAATGAAAAACCTATAGTGAATAACAAACCTATAGTGAATGAAAACCTATAGTGAATGAAAAACCTATAGTGAATGAAAAACCTATAGTGAATGAAAAACCTATAGTGAATAACAAACCTATAGTGAATAACAAACCTATAGTGAATAACAAACCTATAGTGAATAAAAAAATGGAGACTAGTTAACGACAATGGCAATGGAAGACCACCATTTGACGACAATGGC